GCAGAGGCGGCAGAGGGTGTGCTCCGGGGAGGGCCCTCCCAAGACCGACCTCATGGCCTTCAGCCCCAGCCTTCCTCCGTGTCTGGATAGAGAAGTTGGAGGGAAAATGCAGGAGGCAGGATCAAATCACCCTGGGCAGGTGGGTTCTATAGATTCCTCTTCTTTTAAAGTCTATGTTAAATTTTTAAAATCCGCTTTATTTCATAGAAAAATTTAATGAATACTCTTTATTTTGAGTATTAAGTTTTAAACGAATATGTTTTAGAGAACAATTTTTGTTAGTGAAATGCCAACTGATAAAAATCCAATTTTAATAATGAGATAAATCAGGTTTTTTAGCCAATAAATGTCCTATGTTTCCAAATGTTTTGGTAGAAAACGTTAAAGGAAGCTATAAGAATGACTCTCCTGTCAGCACTTTATTAGATATAATTTCTAAGTTTCAGTGATGTAGCTAGACCACTTATTTCATCTCTAATCCTCACTACTGTAGATAATTACTGTGGTTATTTCCATTTTTTCATCCTCTTTGTCTTTTAACACAGCTTTTTGCTTTAATATTTTCACATTATTAGATATCTTGACTTTTCTCACTTCAGGCTTGTATCAAAGATTGAACACTCTCTTCATTAAGTCTGAAAAGATTTAACTTTCTCTGTAGTGTTAAACGTGGATCGTACATTTCTTTTCCATTAAATAATCTTTAGTTTTGCCTCAACTGGTAAGATAAAACCTGTTTTCATATTATTTGCAGTTAAAAATTCAGTCTTGCATTATTGTGTGGTGGTTTCATTGAAATAATAGAACTTAAAAGTTCTGTCGATTTATTTTATTTCATGTAATGGGTACAGATTTATCTACAATATAGTCAAACAGAGCTCCAAGATTTATGCTTACAAAGTTTACTAGGCAAATAAAGTTATTCAAAGCACTCAACCAAGTCTTCAAACTTGATGAAGACATGCGTATAGGCTTATAATATCTGCAACATATGCTGGTTGGCAGTCTGCCCTATGTTAAGTCTATTAAAGTGAAGTGAAAATTATCATTTTCGCTCATCTGGCAACTTAAATTTCCTGTCTTTAAATGCTTTATCTCTAGTGTTTGTGAAATTTTCTTTTCATGTGCTATAATCACATCGGATGATTCTACCAAAGTTCATTTACCCTTAGGTTATTCTTCTAATTCAGTGATCCTTAGCTATATGTAGGGTGGCAGAGTCACTGATTTCTTTGAGAATTTGATGAAATTCATATATGGTTATGCTCCCCTTTAGCCTTAGGGGTTAAAATTTCTTTATTCTATAATAGGCAACCAAATTAAAACACAAAATGTTTCTGACTTAAAAGATTAAACCATTGTATCACTTATGAAACTGTAAATGTATAAATGTGAATGTTAGGTAGGGCACACATTATTATAAATCTCTAAATGAAATTCTTAGAATGACTTAATGTCATCTAAATTTAATAAACAAAGGTATTGGAATATTTTAAGTACATGTTAAATTTTTGCAAATTATTACTTTTACAGTACATAAGTAGTTGATGCACATTTTTAGATAATTACAAATTATATGGGCTATTTTCTACAAATTTTGTGTCTTTTATACTTAATTTCAGGACTACTTTCAGTGGTGTAAAATTATAATTTCAATATAATTTCCATCTTCTAGTTCAATTGTTTAAGTATTAAGCTAATTTTAGATGTTCCTATCTCTTTAGTAATTTAATTATGTCTAACAGTGTATGAGGACTACATAACACACTACTTTTTCAATAAAGTTTCTTGGCAATCATTGTACATTGACTATTTTTGAAAATGGAAGATAGAAAACGAAGAAACATGGTAGTGATATTAGACAATTTAAATAGTCCAATAGCATCAAAAATCAAAATTTTTTTGATTACTTAAGAGCCAGTTTTATAGTTGACTTAAGTTATCTCTTACTTGTAGAACAATTATTGATTATTATTTCCTGGCTCTATAAAGATTTCTTATCTCACTTCCCTTCATTATATGTAAAAGGAATGGTGACAAATTGTTGGCTTAAAGATTTTGACTTGAATTTTAATGAGCTTATAAACTCTGTATTAAATTTTTCACAATTAACTGTGGAATCTTATCTGTGTTTGGTTTTCCCTTAAAGCTGATCTTGAATTAACTAATAAAATTATGAAAAGTCCTTTGATTATCCTTTGCATCATAGTCACCATTCTGATTTTCTGAAGAGAAGCAGATTTTGAATGACAACTAACTGGCCTGAAGGGAACATTTAAAGAGAAACCAAAAGTTCATTATGAAGTTTATATTCTTTTGATTTTAGTCAGAGAGACTGGGCTCCAAAACATCTCACAGATCTTTTTCATATTATGGCTCCACAGCCACTTTAGAATATTGTGAAATTTGGACGCTTTGATTCAATATTTTACATGAAAATTCTTTCCTCCTGCTAGAGTGAAACCTTACAGGATCTGTACCCAAGCCTCACTTTTTTAAAAGATTTTATTTATTCATGAGAGACAGAGGGAGAGAGAGAGGGAAAGAGAGAGAGAGAAGCAGAGGGAGAAGCAGGCTCCCAAGGAGCAGGGAGCCCGATGCGGGACTCGATCCCAGGACCCTGGGATCATGACCTAGGCCAAAGGCAGATGCTTAACCGACTGAGCCACCCAGGTGCCCCCCCAAGCCTCATTTTAATATGTTATGGGAATAAGAGCTGTTGTATGAAAAGTCATCACATCTGAGCATCAAGGAACCAAAAAACCGACATGTTCCATATTTATGATGAATATTTATATCCAACAGAAGTATGAATAAAATAATTTATATGAATGAAAAATTCAGTTAATAGAACTACTTTAGTTTTTTTTTTTCTTTACTAAGTGCAGGAATTCTTGGGTTTCTCCTAAAGTCCTACAATGAAGTGCTTGTGAAGGATAAAAGTCATTACAAGTGTGCATTGTAAGCAAAATAAGGTTGAAGGTGATGTATATTATTCTTTATTTTATTCTCCATGATAGGCAATATTCTGGCATTCTGTATTTCAGTGATTATTTTATGATGGACTTTGAAGCAGAATATTTTAAAAACTTAAGTATAATAGAAATGACTGCTTTGTTACTAATATCATATACATTAAAAAATAGGCATTTACAAAAAATTCATGAAAATATCCAAAAGTCAAAAAATTTTATTCAAGTGTCCCGGGAAGTGGCGAAACCAAAAAGAACCTCCGGATCTTTCTTGTACTTACATAATCAGTCACATGATGTCGCTGTACACTCAAAAGGTGAAAAGGAAAAATTTTGTCTCCGCGCCCAGAGTTCATCCATTGGCTGAATAAGATCGACTCCATGTTGACCGGAAGGCTGGGTAAATTTTACTATATATACACCTACAGAAAGGGAGACTGCTTATAAAGATTCTCAGGTGAGCGATCCCTTAAATCTAACAGACCCACCTCAGAGATCTTGTTAACTACAATGGTGTTTTCCTGGAGAGGAGGCCCAGGAGCCCCGCGACTGCTGCTGTCGCTTCTGCTCCTTGCAGCTGGGGAATCCGGGAGCTGCCAGGTCCACTACTCGGTCCCGGAAGAGGCCAAACACGGCACCTTCGTGGGCCGCATCGCCCAGGACTTGGGGCTGGAGCTGGCGGAGCTGGTGCCACGCCTGTTCCGGGTGGCGTCCAAAGGCCGCCGGGACCTTCTGGAGGTAAATCTGCAGAATGGCATTTTGTTTGTGAATTCTCGGATCGACCGGGAGGAGCTGTGCGGGCGGAGCCTGGAGTGTAGCATCCACCTGGAGGTGATCATGGACAGGCCGCTTCAGGTTTTCCACGTGGAGGTGGAGGTGAAGGACATTAACGATAATCCACCAGTGTTCAGAGAAGAAGAACAAAAGGTACTGATTTCTGAATCTGCACCGCTGGATTCTCATTTTCCTCTAGAGGGCGCTTCCGATGCGGATATAGGCGTAAACTCTCTTCTGACCTATAGGTTAGGTCTAAATGAGTATTTTACTCTTAAAATAATAACGAAAAACGATAAAAGTATATTGCCTGAACTAGTTCTACGGAAGTCATTGGATAGAGAGGAAACTCCAGAACTTAATATATTGCTGACCTCCCAGGATGGCGGTAAGCCCGAGCTAACAGGATCTGTTCAGATTAAAATAAGCATTTTGGATGTGAATGACAACGCTCCGGAGTTTGACAAGCCTGGCTATAAAGTAGTGCTGTTTGAAAATGTCCCAAACGGTACGAGAGTGATACAGCTAAACGCTTCTGATCTAGACGAAGGGGTGAATAGAGAAATTTCCTATGGAATCAGACTGATTTTGCCAGTGAGTGAGAAATGCATGTTTTCAATAAATCCAGAAACAGGTGAAATCAGAATTTACGGGAAATTGGATTTTGAAGAGAATATTGAGTATGAAATTCAGGTTAACGCCATTGATAAAGGGATTCCTTCCATGGCAGGTCACTGTACAGTCCTAGTGGAAGTTCTGGATCTGAATGACAATACCCCTGAGGTAATGATCACTTCGCTGTCGCTCCCCATGAGAGAGGATGCTCAGGTGGGCACTGTCATCGCCCTGATCAGCGTGTCCGACCGTGACTCTGGCGCCAACGGGCAGGTGACCTGCTCACTAACA